CCTAAAGGGGAGGGGCTTCAGGGAAACCCTTTGGGTAGGTGCTGAGTGCACTCCCTATTTTGAAGTTGTCGTATTAAGGGCTATATAGTTAGGGGTATTCTTTAAGGGGGCTTATACGGTTTATGTGTTTTAATATCTCAATGTGTATATTGGTATTGTTATTTGTAAAGGTTTAAAGAAATATTATGGTTAAGTTACTATCCCTATGTGTTAATTGTGTTGTGTGGTTGTAAGTTATTCGGTTTATATTTGGGATTATATGTAAATTGTGGAATATTATGTATAGTTTTATATGTTAAGCCTTGTATATATTCTATGTTTTATATTAAGAGTCTGTATTTGTTCTTGTAATAAATTGTACATAGTTAAGTATTTGGTTTTGGTCTAGCTCTACAGAGAGGGGAGGAAGCCCTCTAGTAGCTGACCCCTTCCTCAGCACCCTGCCTCACCACCACCACTGTCATTGGAGAACAGGGCACACACCCCCGGGTGTACCCAGGCTACACTTTGTTTTGTTCACTTCATCTGTGAATGTGGCAGGGCACTTGGAATGCCTGCCACTTTAAGAGGTCAGGCAGCCTGCAAAGCCACTAGCAGGTGTGACTCATAGCTAATTGTAGGATCAGCTGACCCTGGGAGGTGGCAGATATAATCCCAGGCCCTGAGAGAAGCTGGTAGTAACATCTGTGAGCCTGCTGAGAGAGTACCACCTAAGCAGGATGGCTGCAGCTCCAGAAGACCAGCTTGGAGATAATTCCTCCCCAAACCTCCAGACTGCTTTAGGTGCTAAGGGGAGAAGAAGGAGGTTCCTATGGACCCAGAGGCTGAATGTGGGACCATCAAAGGTCCAGAGCCTAGCAAGAGGCTGAGAGTGTGGGAGCAGCGAGGGTCCAAGAACCCCAGAAGGAGACTTAAGTGAAATAAAACATCAATGGAAATACCATCTGCAAGGCATGTGGCACGGTGTGTGTGGGGGGGGGGGAGAGAATTGAGCCATGCAATTAGCCCATAAACCAGAGATCACATGCATCTGGTGGTCATTTGGAAGAACAATTTAAGAAGCCTTCGCACAGCCTCCCTCATTAAAATAACAAACATCAAGTCATGGCAGGTGACTAGAAGGGTCAATTGCCCACAAGTGAGGGCTGCAGAGACTCCAAGAGCTCCACGGCCACCCGAGGCACAGTGAAGTCTCTTGGTACCTCAGATATATCTTCTCCATAGACAAGAGCATCCACATAGGTATATCCAAGTGAATGATCTGCTGTAACAGCCTCTCCATTGACTGGGTGGTTGGATGAATTCTGTCTCATGGGCTGCAATAGCTGGCCTGATGCCTGTATGTCCTTGGGGAAAAGACTGTTTCAGTTCTGCAAGCACATAGGGTCCACATGTTTCTTCGTGACTACCATGAAAGCTTTCTCTATGTACAAACCCACACTTAAATCTAAGACTATAATCAGAACTTCAATACATTTTCTTCTTAATAGAATTTCTCTTATCCTTTGCACAATTGAGCACTGCTGTAGGTGCTTCAGCTGGAGGCTGTGCCCAGCAGCTGGCAGACTATGCTCATCCTGTCAAAGAGCCTTTCCCACACAGAAATACAGCATTTGTAAATTGGATGAGCCAGAGGCTATCCTCCCATGTAGTCACTGCATTCAAAGACCCATTTGCAGGAATTCAGAGAGCAACAAATGAAGAAGTGAACTAAATAGCCTTGCCCCAAACACAGTTATACAGTGTTGCCTTGTTCTATCCCTGGGACTACAGGAACAGGTCTGAGGAAAGGACAAGTATTGCCAGTCCCTAAAACCACTAAATCAGTGATTCTTAACAGTGCCAGGCCCAGGGTGCCACACCTTGATGGTATTTATAATTAATAGGGACAGTGGCAATGTGTAGGGCATGCATGGGGGTGCAGAGTGCTGGGGCACCCCCGATAGCCAGCAGTCTCTGATAGCCAGGATTCCTGGGCAGGGGGGGCAGGCAAGAATGCTGGTGCCCCCCCCCCGAGAGTGCCAGCCAAGGTGTGGGGTGCCAGGAGAAGTGATCCCTGTGGCCCCCCCGCAGCTGATCATGCTCACTCAGAAGTACCAGCAGCACACCGCTGCCACTTGTGGGTTGACAGGATTGGCCGTGGGGGGACACCCCCCCCCCGGTCAGTGTGATTGGCCATAGGGGAGACACACTCCCCGGTCTGCAGTATCGGCCATGGGGGGACCATACCAATGATTGGCTACTGGGGGGCAAGTGTCTCCCCTGACTCAGGAGACACCAGTCACCCACGGACCTTTGCTAGGCCTCAGTCCCACTGATCCCAGGCCCCTGGCTGGGTCTCTGTACTGTCAGGCCCCTGGCTAAGCCTCTGTACTCAGCTGTGTCCGGCACCCAAAGCCCCCTTCCACCCCACAAGGCACAAGGCATCTGGGTCCCAAATTCAGAGCCAACAAGCAGTGCAGAGGACTTTCAGCCAGTTGTATCCACTAGAGCAAGAACCAGAACAGCCAAAGGCTCCTTGAGGAGAACAGAGTTGCATTTATTCTAAAAGATCTGTTCTTGCCTGGTGCAGACTGTCCTAGGCAGTACTGAACCCCAACTGACCTGATGGAAATAGAGTGTATACAGCAGTGTCAGGCCTTCCATGTACTAGGGTGTGGATACACACTGCACATACAAATTTACACCAAACCTTTCTATGTGCTGCATTTTAATTAAGCCCTTCTATCACCAACAAGGGGTGCTCACCATGAAGATGTATTCTTGTCCCCCACTATGTTATTAGCACAGAAAATGATCCTGTGAACACTTACAACTGATATTAGTGCCAACTCCTATGTGGGCTCCCACTCACTCTGTCTGCACTGTGTTTATTTCTCCACTGGACAAGCAGTTTGCTGGCATGGTACTTGCTGCTGTCTGGAAATTGGCCAAAACCCTGCCCACTTCTCCCCAAGGTGGCTCTAAGAAACAGGACAGCCCAAAACCTCCCACCGCTCCAGCTTTCCCCCCAGGGAACATGTCCCAAGCCCACCTTCCTCCCTCCTTCTCTCCCTCCAGGACTGCCAGCTCAGGCTCTGGGCTGCTGGGGTGGGGGCTGCAGCCATGCCACTTACCATGGGGCACGCTTCCCGCAGGAAAAGTGGAGGGGGGTGTCACCTCCACTCGGGGTTGCTCAGCGCTCGCCACTCTTGCTTTCCGGCTCTTGAACTTCGGTGGAGGATTGGATATGGCTCCCAGGGTGAGTAACTCTGGCCACCCCTGGCATAGTTCCTTGTCTACAACAGCTCTTGCCATTGCCATTGCTGTGGATCTCAGCTGATCAGAGCAGAAATTGTGGGCAAAAAAATGCCTATAAAAATACTAGGCACTATGTCAATGGAAGATAGGGGGAGGCCTACGAAAGGAAGGGTGTAATTTACACCATTGTAGCTATCCACTACTTCCATATTTGCTGCTGCTCAGTGGCAACATATAGGGGGTGCACAGCGGTGCATGTGCACCCCCAGAGAGTGCTGGTGCACCCCCTGACATGCCGCACTCCCCACTTAGGTGATGGGCAGTGGGGGCAGGTGGGAGCACCAGTGCCCCCTCTGCGAGTGCTGGCCGGAGAGTAGAAGCGCTAGATGTAGCACCATGGCCACTTCTGGGAGAACCGTGGCTGCTACCCAGTCACTGACTTTTGCCACAGGGGGATTCCCCACCCCAGCCCCAGTCGGCAAGATTGAGCACAGGGGGACCACCTCCCCCCAGTTGCTGACTGGTTGCTGGGGGGGGCATGTGCTCCCCCTGACTAAGGTGGCACCAGTTGCCCATGCTGCTGCTGTTTCTCATAAGCCAGAGCCCAGCTTGTCATTGGCCATTCTTATGACTCATGGAGATGCATGCATCTGCCCCAATGTTTTAGAACCCAGTGTCATGTGCTACATAAAACTGCACAGGAAAAGGGCACACAAAGAAGGGATGAAGGCATCTTTTGAAGGAATCCCCAAGGAACCCATCCAAGGAAGTAGAAAAGAAAAGTCATCTTGTTCCAACAAACCAGTCATTCTTTAGCTAGATATTTTCCCAGCATTTCTACAGTTTTATACAGTTTCAAGGCCCAGTGTTTGCTGATTCTTCCCTGACATATCTCTAGCATGTTTCTGTTTGAGTCCCTCAGAGGCCTGAATAAATGAAATCTGCAAAAAGAAAAACAGTGGGTTTGCCCCATTTTATGTCTTTTGAAGATTAAGGAAGGCCTCAGAGGGCATGTCCACACATGCAAGCATGTGCACTTGCAGCAGCTCAAATAGAAGTGGTGCAAATTTAAGCTGGGGCTTTTTGCAAAGTGTGCCACTTGGGGCAAAAAAACCCTGCCTGGCTCTTCTCAGACCTGCAGCCAGGGGGAGCTAGAGCCCAGGGCCAGCACCTGTCCTGTCCTGTCAGCAGTATAAAAAGCTGCCCTGTCCTGGCCCCATCTGTACAAAAAGCTGCCCTGGCAAGCTACTCGCTCTCAGGAGCTTCTGGGGCCTGGCCACTTGATACCTGGGGTCACTACCCCGTGTGCCAGCTGGACTGCTGCAGCAGCATCCCAAATCCATTTTTAAAAATACCCCAAAATCCATGTTTTTCCACAATTAAAATAAAAGACCACTCTACACACATACACACACACACACATTTATATATCTATAGAGAGACAGCAATCAGTTGGGCAATGCTTTATTGGTATATTTACAGTGTTAAAGCAATGTGGAAGCCTACCAGAATCTCTATCATCATGATAAAATAAATTCCACACAGCACATGGAATGCCCCCACACACATGGCCCCAGC